GCATGTCCTGCCAGGATTGATCCACAAGACGTACCTGGCGAAGAGTGAGAGACATTTAACTTTCTGGGAGGATCTAGAGGCTCATTTAAGTTCTGTTCACAGGGTAAATGTTGTGTGTTTGTGTTGTAGAGGAAGGTAAACCTCTGCAGGTCTGGGGTTCGGGTCGCGCTCTGCGGCAGTTCATCTATTCTCTGGATCTGGCTCGTCTGTTTCTGTGGGTTCTGAGGGAGTACGACGAGGTGGAGCCCATCATTCTGTCAGGTACTCGAGACGTGTTTGACGTCACATGTGTTGGGTCTGTTTCATCAGAGCTCATTGGTTGATCATCAAATATCAAGATCATGTTTCTCTTTTTCTTCGTTTCTTTTTGTCTAGTCGGGGAGGAGGATGAGTTGACTGTAAAGGATGCTGTGGACGCTGTGGTTGAAGCGTTCGGGTTCGAAGGGGTGTATCCTTTATCCTTTCACACCAACAGTGTCTGGAGTTTTTTTTTTTTACAGCTGACAGAATAGCAGTCTGTGGAACACGGAACACGATAAGATATGTTTTTCTTTTTTTCCAGCCGTCAAGGAGACGTGTGATTGGTTTGTGGCCAATTATGACACCGCCCGTAAATGAAGATCTTCACATCAGATTGGCTGTGGGGAGCTTGAACAACCGAAGCCATACTGATCGGACACTTTCAACAATTTTTTATTTTTTTTTAAACATCATTTTTAAAACATATATATATATATATATATATATATATATACATATATGTGTATATTATTTTTTAAATAAAATGTTTAAATAAATAAATAAAAAAGTCAAAATCATTAGTTTTTACCTCCCTTTTCATGTTTATTTCAAGTTTTTCTAAAAACATACCTTTTATGTGGGATCTATTCTGTGATCAGTGCTGTGCATTTTAGTTTTTTACTGGTCATGTCATGTCACCTTTATTTATATAGCCCTTTATACAATACAGATAACGTCAAAGAAGCTTTACAGTGTTAAACAGGAAAATAATATTTCAATAATGCAAACAATATTCAGTTCTACTGGTCTGTCACCAAAGAAAGTTATTTTCTGGGTTTATTTCCTAATGATACTATACTGTATATTTAAAAATAAATTTGTATTTTGAATAATAATGCTTAATGTCTCCTTCTTTTTGCAGAATTTTGGTAATATAATGGGGTTTACAAATCATGTTACATGTCTATATTAAGCTCTATAATACTTTTTCTAAATAATTGTAATTTTTTAGACAACTTTAGACTTTGTTTGAGGTGTGAAGCTTAACTATAATTTTACTACAATTGAACTACTTTAATTTAGCACTGTGTAAAATCCATTGGGCGCTGTCTCATGAATAAATCCAAAATAAATTGTACTCATTATGGTTGAGCCATTTTACTTATTTACCTATCAAAAGCTTTGACACTTTTTCTTTTCATTAATATTTTGGTAGAACTCTGCAATAACACAAATATAACTCTGGAAATGATTGCAGTGAGACAAATATATTGAAACAACTTCTTTACATCTTCTAGATTAAAGATTAAAGGGTTAGTTCACCAAAATTAGCTTGTGTTTTACTCACCCTCGAGGCATCCTAGGTGTATATGACTTTCTTCTTTCAGACGAATCCAATCGGGGTTATATTAAAAATCGCCCTGGCTCTTCCAAGCTCTATCATTGCAGTCATTGCAGTGTTGCAGTTGAACAGTCCACAAGTCGTCAAATAAAGCTCGCGCATTCATAATAAAACGTGCCGCAGACGGCTCCGGGGGATGAATAAAGGCCCCCTGTAGCGAATCCATGTGTTTTTGTAAGAAAAATATCCATATTTCAAACGTAATAAACACTTTTCCCTCACTTCCGCTGACTGTCATCCACTGAAGCCGTTCCAGTTTTTTTGCAAATTAATCAAATATTGATTGTCAACCTTAGCATCTCAAATAAAATATGCAGTAATGAGGGTTTATTTTATTTGACATTGGCAATTTTTTGCAAAATCAAATTTTGGTTACCATATCTATGGTTTAAAACCCAGATTTGCCTTTTGTTTTTTTGCAGTTTTTTTACTACAAAATATTTGTTACTATGTCTACAGTTTAAAAAACTGAATTGAATTTAATTAAAAAATTTTGTTTGTTTGTTTTTTTCCCCAACCAAATTTTTGTTAGCATTTTGTTATTTTTTTGCCATTAGGCAAAAAAAAAATTAAATTTTTTTTTATTTTGCCATAAACAGAATTTTAACAAACTTATATTTCCCATAAATTACAGAAATAATGTTTGTTTGATCATTTTTACAATTATTTTATGGTAGCTGGGTTGAACGCCAGTGCCTACCATTATATCGCCTAATAAACCGTAACTGCAGTTTGACAGAAAATGCAGAAATCTGCCGTGTTTCAGGGCGCTGGCGTGTTACTGCGTGATTCTGGGAAGCTCCCGGCGGAGCTGAAGGCCGAGGTTTGCACGCCTGGAGGGACCACTATTCACGGCATCCACGCGCTGGAGAAGGAAGGATTCAGAGCGGCTACGATGGGAGCTGTAGAGGCCGCGACCGAAAGAGCCAGAGATCTTGGGAAGAAGTAGAGTGGGAATCGTATTTATAGAGACGTTACTAAATCAGGTTATAGGAGGGATGATTAACTTAACACCTTAAAGTCTTATTTAATGCTCCAAGCATATCCAGTAGAATGTTGATTACAGATACCTTGATAATTGATTGAAAGGTGCTTCTTAAAGTACAAACGAATGGATTAATCTGAGGATGTGAATTGTGTATTCTGTTTGTGTTTTACTCACCCTCGAGGCATCCTAGGTGTATATGACTTTCTTCTTTCAGACGAATCCAATCGGGGTTATATTAAAAATCGCCCTGGCTCTTCCAAGCTCTATCATTGCAGTCATTGCAGTGTTGCAGTTGAACAGTCTCTGGATCTGGCTCGTCTGTTTCTGTGGGTTCTGAGGGAGTACGACGAGGTGGAGCCCATCATTCTGTCAGGTACTCGAGACGTGTTTGACGTCACATGTGTTGGGTCTGTTTCATCAGAGCTCATTGGTTGATCATCAAATATCAAGATCATGTTTCTCTTTTTCTTCGTTTCTTTTTGTCTAGTCGGGGAGGAGGATGAGTTGACTGTAAAGGATGCTGTGGACGCTGTGGTTGAAGCGTTCGGGTTCGAAGGGGAAGTGATTGTATCCTTTCACACCAACAGTGTCTGGAGTTTTTTTTTTTTACAGCTGACAGAATAGCAGTCTTTCTTCTGTGGAACACGATAAGATATCTTGCAGTTCAAAAAGCATCATAAAAGTAGTCCATGAATGACAGAATGAACTAACCCTCTAAACGCTCATTCACAGACTTACAGCTGAACCTTAACTAAGCTCTCTCAGTATGACACTAGTAAATCAGACGGTCAGATCAAGAAAACCGCCAATAACGCCAAACTGCGCAAATACCTGCCAGACTTCAAGTTCACGCCGTTCAAACAAGGTGATCAGCACAAGAGATGCAGCATTTACTCAGTTTTTCCAATAGTAGTAAAAAGAAGAATCTTTATAGATGTTTTTCTTTTTTTCCAGCCGTCAAGGAGACGTGTGATTGGTTTGTGGCCAATTATGACACCGCCCGTAAATGAAGATCTTCACATCAGATTGGCTGTGGGGAGCTTGAACAACCGAAGCCATACTGATCGGACACTTTCAACAATTTTTTATTTTTTTTTAAACATCATTTTTAAAACATATATATATATATATATATATATATATATACATATATGTGTATATTATTTTTTAAATAAAATGTTTAAATAAATAAATAAAAAAGTCAAAATCATTAGTTTTTACCTCCCTTTTCATGTTTATTTCAAGTTTTTCTAAAAACATACCTTTTATGTGGGATCTATTCTGTGATCAGTGCTGTGCATTTTAGTTTTTTACTGGTCATGTCATGTCACCTTTATTTATATAGCCCTTTATACAATACAGATAACGTCAAAGAAGCTTTACAGTGTTAAACAGGAAAATAATATTTCAATAATGCAAACAATATTCAGTTCTACTGGTCTGTCACCAAAGAAAGTTATTTTCTGGGTTTATTTCCTAATGATACTATACTGTATATTTAAAAATAAATTTGTATTTTGAATAATAATGCTTAATGTCTCCTTCTTTTTGCAGAATTTTGGTAATATAATGGGGTTTACAAATCATGTTACATGTCTATATTAAGCTCTATAATACTTTTTCTAAATAATTGTAATTTTTTAGACAACTTTAGACTTTGTTTGAGGTGTGAAGCTTAACTATAATTTTACTACAATTGAACTACTTTAATTTAGCACTGTGTAAAATCCATTGGGCGCTGTCTCATGAATAAATCCAAAATAAATTGTACTCATTATGGTTGAGCCATTTTACTTATTTACCTATCAAAAGCTTTGACACTTTTTCTTTTCATTAATATTTTGGTAGAACTCTGCAATAACACAAATATAACTCTGGAAATGATTGCAGTGAGACAAATATATTGAAACAACTTCTTTACATCTTCTAGATTAAAGATTAAAGGGTTAGTTCACCAAAATTAGCTTGTGTTTTACTCACCCTCGAGGCATCCTAGGTGTATATGACTTTCTTCTTTCAGACGAATCCAATCGGGGTTATATTAAAAATCGCCCTGGCTCTTCCAAGCTCTATCATTGCAGTCATTGCAGTGTTGCAGTTGAACAGTCCACAAGTCGTCAAATAAAGCTCGCGCATTCATAATAAAACGTGCCGCAGACGGCTCCGGGGGATGAATAAAGGCCCCCTGTAGCGAATCCATGTGTTTTTGTAAGAAAAATATCCATATTTCAAACGTAATAAACACTTTTCCCTCACTTCCGCTGACTGTCATCCACTGAAGCCGTTCCAGTTTTTTTGCAAATTAATCAAATATTGATTGTCAACCTTAGCATCTCAAATAAAATATGCAGTAATGAGGGTTTATTTTATTTGACATTGGCAATTTTTTGCAAAATCAAATTTTGGTTACCATATCTATGGTTTAAAACCCAGATTTGCCTTTTGTTTTTTTGCAGTTTTTTTACTACAAAATATTTGTTACTATGTCTACAGTTTAAAAAACTGAATTGAATTTAATTAAAAAATTTTGTTTGTTTGTTTTTTTCCCCAACCAAATTTTTGTTAGCATTTTGTTATTTTTTTGCCATTAGGCAAAAAAAAAATTAAATTTTTTTTTATTTTGCCATAAACAGAATTTTAACAAACTTATATTTCCCATAAATTACAGAAATAATGTTTGTTTGATCATTTTTACAATTATTTTATGGTAGCTGGGTTGAACGCCAGTGCCTACCATTATATCGCCTAATAAACCGTAACTGCAGTTTGACAGAAAATGCAGAAATCTGCCGTGTTTCAGGGCGCTGGCGTGTTACTGCGTGATTCTGGGAAGCTCCCGGCGGAGCTGAAGGCCGAGGTTTGCACGCCTGGAGGGACCACTATTCACGGCATCCACGCGCTGGAGAAGGAAGGATTCAGAGCGGCTACGATGGGAGCTGTAGAGGCCGCGACCGAAAGAGCCAGAGATCTTGGGAAGAAGTAGAGTGGGAATCGTATTTATAGAGACGTTACTAAATCAGGTTATAGGAGGGATGATTAACTTAACACCTTAAAGTCTTATTTAATGCTCCAAGCATATCCAGTAGAATGTTGATTACAGATACCTTGATAATTGATTGAAAGGTGCTTCTTAAAGTACAAACGAATGGATTAATCTGAGGATGTGAATTGTGTATTCTGTGTAAAATGGAATAGTCTTAAAGGGATAGTTCATCCAAAAATGAAAATGTGATGTTTATCAGAGGTAAAAAATTATATGAATACTGTTCGGTTTCTCGCACAAACCGATCGTTTCGTGTCTTAGGACATCAATGTGTTGTCATGAGCCGCAGGGTTTAATTTGGATTTGTCTATGCATGTTTTTTTTACTCTCATAGATTTTGTTACCATTGCCATGCATTATACGACTGATGATAGACTGCAACGGTTAAAGTTAAAAATCATCATATGTGTTCTACTGAAGAAACAAAGTCACCTACATCTTGGATGCCCTGGGGGTAAGCAGATAAACATCACATTTTCATTTTTGGATGAACTATCCCTTTAAGGAAACAACATACAGACACTGTAAGTTACACGTCTGTTACATGTCTCTATGATTTCTGTGGCGCTTGATAAAGCACTGGAATTCAGAAACAGAAATATATTTATTTCTGAATATATATATTCAGAAATATATTTCTTTTGTTCACACAGATTCAAAGAATATGTAAAAATCATATTAAATATAAAATAAATTAATCCGTATGAGATACGTTTTGTTTTGTGAGCTCTTAGAAGTTTTTAAAGCCTTATTTAATGACTGTGCACACTACATATTAAAATATTTAGGAAAAAAATCAAAGAAATACAATTTAATTGTTTCACAACAATACAGTAATAAATATTGTGTAATATAAATAATATGATAAAATTCCTAGATTAATAAATATAAATAAATGCAGGATATAAAGTTTGTATCTGAAGAATTTATCACAAAAAAATAAGATATTTTTATCTTTCAAAGTATTTTCAGCACCAGTAGTTTCCCTAAAAGCTTTTACACTTTAAAAATAGCAAAAAATGTAAAGAATAACAAAATAAAAGTATATATATATATATATATATATATATATACTGTGTGTGTGTGTGTTTAGTTTATTATATATAATAAATATGTATTATTATTATTATTACCTGTGTTGAAGTCTAACGATAAAATATCAGATCTATGTATGTTTTAAAGAAATGTCTGTTTGCATGTGAATGAAAAAGTTTGCATATATGGATATAAGAATTAATATTAAAATGCACAAAATGAATCAACACGTATTTTTATTTGTATAAAATGTCTTTAAGAATACAATTACAGTTTAACTTTGGATTAAAACACCAACTTCTCGATTCAAACCAGAGGACAGATGTTATATTACAGCTGTAATAATTCTTAAAAATCCATGCTTTGACTCTTGTTTCCACAAAAGAATAGAAATGAACGGCTAAAAACATATCTCTTCTATCTTCATTTGACCCTCTAACTCTAGCACTCTCTATTCTAATTCTAAGAAGAAGAAAAAAACACTTGCACTCTCTATTCTTTTTCTATTCTTTTGACTTGTTTTATTTTTATCTTTTAAAAAGAGGCTCTAACTCTAGCATTCTCTATTCTAATTCTATTCTATCTTCTTGTTTTCTTTTTCTTTTTTTTTTTATAAAAAATGACCCTCCAACACTATATAATCTATTCTTTTTCTATTCTATCTTCTTGTTTTCTTTTTCTTTTTTATAAAAAATGACCCTCTAACACTAGCATTTTCTATTCTTTTGACTTGTTTTATTTTTATCTTTTTAAAAAGAGCCTCTAACTCTAGCATTCTCTATTATTTTTCTATTCTGTGTTCTTGTTTTCTTTTTATTTATTATATAAAAAAGACTTGTCACAGCGCTTACATATCATTGCCGTTTAGTTGGTTTTGACTGCTTCTATTGTCCTCATTTGTAAGTCGCTTTGGATAAAAGCGTCTGCTGCTGAATGACTAAATGTAAATAAATGGGCTGTTCACGTCGTTTGATGACGTCACAGACGCAGTCGCACTTGGAAACAGTGACAGAATGTACCATGTGGGGAAAAAAATGTCGTGACAAAATAATCATTTAAAACACTCTTCTGTGGCGCAGTTATGTGGTGTGTCTATATGTATACAAATAGCAACCTGACTCAAACACATTTAAGCCGCATCAGTGTAATGTTTGGTGGTTTTGTGGCGGTTTTGAGGTGGTGATCTCCCCCCGCTCTTGAACGCGAATGGTTCGCGCGGCTCTCGCTCATTCCTTCTGTTCCGAGCAGCAGCGATTCATTCAACGTCAACCAAAGCGCTTAAAGTGAGTATTTATGTGGGAAAATTAGGTGGTGTTTATGCTCATTTGTTGTTTTTCTTGGTTTATATGAATAAATAATACTGTGCTGGGTGTTTATCGTGCTCAAAAACCGGTTAGACGTCTTTCCTACGTTTATTTATTAATGTAAGAATAATCAATACGTGATCGATACATGACAGAAAGTCAATCACTGTCATAATGGAAATATGATTAACTTGTATAATATCTAGTATGTTGTTTGATGGGCCTGATGACAGCTCCATGTGCAGGAAGTCCAGATGATCAGGAATAATGACGCATTCTCTTGTTAAATCCGATGAAATCCGGAGATTTGTACACATTTATTGGTTTTTGATCTCTGGATAAAACCTATTTATTTTCTGAATCAACAAAATTAGTCATTATTAGGTTTTAAAATCCACCTTTTTCTCCTAATTGCGCATTCAGATCTGCTGATCTTAACAGTCATGCTCAATAGAAACTGTCAGCTAATGGAAAAGTGAATCACTGAATCATCAATGAACTGACTTTAGCTGAAAAATTACTCTTTGTTATTGTCCTCTTGCAACTATTTTCCTGTTTGACACTTTAAAGTTGCTTTGACACAATCTGTATTGTATAAAGTGCTATATAAATAAAGGTAAACAATGTATATAATTTAAACTATTAAAAAATAATAGTTGTAAATAGTAATATTAACCTATTTTTAGTCACA